AAACACACACACAGTGTCTTGTCAGTGTGTGTGTCTGTCAGTGATGGACACACACGCTCATGGACAGACACACACACACATTATAATGTAAAAAAATATATATTTTAATTGAAATCAACCCAGCCTCCATAATTTTGAAAGAGCTGGAGTCGATTGGCTTTCCCTGGGGCCCAATGGAGATCTTGTCATGTTCCTGCTCTGTTCCCTGTCGCGCACTGTTAAGTGATGCCAGGGCCAGAGTGACATCACTGCAGGGTGCACGAGGGAGCAAGAAGATGACAGCTCTCTCCTTCATTGCCGGGCTTCATTCCGAACAGCTGGCCGGCCAACTCTACTCTTCCACGACCAGCCTCCTGCATTCTCCCTCGTCACCTGCACTGAACGGGCCTACAAACCCCAGACTCCAGGACAAAGTTCCTAGTCACCATGGAAACCTGGCGCCTGGTATTCATCAAGCCCTGCAATATGATTATCATTTGATGACCTTTAAAGTCTCTTAATGGTTTAGGTGTGTTTAGCCCTGCAATCAAAACATTGCCGTATCTACAAAACTATTTAGATAGTGGAACTGAAATGACAGTGTACCCAGACCACTTTATTGAGTTTAAGTGGTCTGGGTGCCTTTAAATATCACTTTAATTATAGAAGGAGTAACTGTAGCCTTTATGAAATGTACTTATAGGTTATTAAACTGGGAATTAAGGAGAAACAACTAGGGGTTTGTAACATTTCGACTAAAATAACTTGGGTGTAAAAATTCTACTGTTTTTTTTTAGTTTTGGCTATATTGGCATTAGGGATCGACCAATATTGAATTTTGTTTTAGAGCCGATACCGATAATCTGTGAACTTTCAGGCCAATAGCCAATAACTCACTGATACCGATATTCTGTACGTTTACAATTTAAAAAAAACAAACTATTTCTACACAAACCTACTGTTAACTGAACATGTTTATTAAATCTTTTTTTTTTTTTTAAATTAAGGTAAATGCACAAAATATACATGCCAGTCAGAATTTTTTATGTTTTCAAGAATATATGTGTGTGTTGTGGATGCAGTGAGAGTATTTGATTAGTGAATGCAGTGTGTGCATGTTTGTGTAGTGGATGCAGACTGTGTGTGTGTGTGTGTGTGTGTATAGTGAATGCAGTGTGTGTGTTTGTGTAGAGTGGATATAGTCTGTGTAGTGTTTGTGTATAATGAATGCAGAGTGTGTGGGTTTGTGTAGTGTGTGTATAGTGAATGCAGTGTGTAGTGTGTGTGTGTGTGTATAGTCGATGCAGTGTGTGTTTGTCTAGTGTGTGTGTGTGTGTGTGTGTGTATAGTGAATGCAGTGTGTGTTTGTGTAGTGTGTGTGTGTGTGTATAGTGAATGCAGTGAGTTTGTGTAGTGTGTGTGTGTTTGTAGTGAATGCAGTGGGTTTGTATAGTGAATGCTGTGTGTGTGTGTGTATATAATGAATGCAGAGTGTGTGTGTTTGTGCAGTGAGTGCTTGTGTAGGTGTGTAAAATGGGGGGGCGCATTTTAATTTTATTAATATTTAATCTTTTTAAATTTTGTTTTAGTCCTCCCTCCCTGCTTCTTACCTGGCCAGGGAGAGGGGGATATGGCATTCCCTGGGGGGCCAACGGCAGTCCTGGGGGGCCCAGCAAGACTCTTACTTACCTTCCCTGCTCCCCTGTCTAACTCTTGCGGCCTGTGTGCTGTGCTGAGCTTTGTCATGGTAACCCGTGGCAACGCTCTGACGGCCGCGGGACTCGCTAGAGTTGGACAGGGGAGCTTAAGGGAACTGCTGGGAAGGTAAGTAAGAGTGTGCTGGGCCCCCCAGGACCGCCGCAGGCCCCCCCGTACCCTGATGGCGGCCCTGGTCTGCTTTATCAGTATCTTTATTGGCCGATACCGATATTGTTGAAAATACAGAATATCGGCCGATAATATCGGCCAGACCGATAATCGGTTGATCCCTAATTGGCATACATTCATTATCTTTAATTGAAGAAAACTAATAAGAAAGTCCTGACAAAAAAGTGTTGTGGAAAGATCCACACCTTATGTCCTGGCAGAATCCAAATTAGATTATTCGAGTGCTCGGAGAGACAATAATGCACAGAGAGCTTGTTTGTGAAAAACAATTGTCTCTAGTTTATTGTTAAAAAACAAACAAAAAAAAAACAGTTGCATTTATACAGTATAATTTAAAAAGAGAAGCTTGTAGGGTGGATGTAAAAGATAGAGGTGGTGTATGAGTCATGGAAATGGAATATGAAGGGAGTTAGTGCTTGCAGTGTCTATTTTGCACAGAATGTTCCCTTAACTACTTAGTATTGAGTTTATAATGAACAGGATGTATATGGAGAACATTTTGTGGCCAACATGAGATAGACGAGTTCTCAAAGGAAAGCTGGTAATTAGACTGAACTTTTATTATGTAGAAGACAAAATGGAGTTAATAGCTATACAAAATGGATGCTGGCTTATATCCATAACAACTGCGACAACTTATAATGGATTGATATAGATTTCCAATGTACAATTGATGTGTTTTATATACTTTATTATACGTGTTTATTTTTTTAGGTTGT